TCCCCCTCGATGGGGCCCGCCCACACCGGGGCCTCCCCCCTCCCGCCCACTGCTTTCTCAACGGCCCCGAGCCGGGGCTGCCCTCATTGCATACATAGTGCGCCTTTCCCTGCTTTTCTAGTGACCTAGCGTTCCGCACTGCCGTTTGGCCAGCCCATGCTCCCGTACCGTTGCGTTTCTCCCCAATGCGCCATGCCACTTTGCCAGTCATACACACGTTTCGATGCGTGCCCTGTCAGCTGCTTGCGTTGCATGTCGCCTTGCTCCACCCCTGTTTTATTGCTTTCTCTGCTTTCGCCCGGTTCCCGTCCCGTTTCGGCGGGGAGTCTATGTTGCAAGCTAGTTCTTGCTTTACCAGACTTTAAGCCCACACAAGCAAGAGCCTCCTTAACAGCGCTGACACGCCTGACCCACATGTCTGCATTTGGAGAGCCGGTGATCTTTGCCCCATCGTTAAAGCTGCCTGCCTCGCTGAAGTACCTGTTCCTTAAATACTCGAGGGAGGAGGATCTGAGCCTGCTGCATCCGGTGAGCTGCTGACATGATCCCTGCATGCCACCACACCGCTAGACCACCAACACTGCAACGGCATTGACGCGCATGCGCGTGCTTTGCAGCTGCCCGCGCTTTCCAACCTGGAATCGTTGGAGCTTTGGATGGACTACACCTCGGCCGCGGCTAAGAAAGGCCTTCTTTGAAGGCGCTGGAGCTAGTGTCTAAACCCTCCGAGAGGGCACAGGTTCGATTCCCTCCCATGTCGAAACTTTGTGAGGACAAACGCGGCATAGCTGACCGGCTCAGCGCCAATCCAAGCCAATTCCTTCGGGAACGCCTATTAGAATCGCCAAGGCTTCGGCACAGGCCTCCCCGGGACCCATTCACTACTAGTGGGGGGTACTGCACTTGGCGCGTCGGGCAGATCAAATAATGGTCTAAAGCTAGACGTTAAAACCGGGAAGTTAAGCTTGTGGAGGCTCTTCCCCACCTTTACCTTTACCTTTACCTTTACCTCCAGCAATGCCTTCACGGTGCTGAGCCACCTCACCCGTTTGCAGCGGCTCACCTTTCGGAACAACAATTGGCTGCCTGCCAGCCTTTCCTCCCTGACGTGGCTGCGCTCCCTTACCCTCCATCCTTTCGCATGGACAAGAGAGCCGCAGGGCTGGCAGCACAGTTCTGAGCTGCAGCTGAACGGAATACTGCTGGCGCTTGGCCAGCTCACACACCTGGGCATCCAATGTACACCCACAGGAATTGAGGCGCTGCCAGCCGCAATGGCCAGACTCAGCCAGCTGCAGTCCTTTGCCTGGGACGGTGCCCTGCCTGCAGACCCGCAGCTCCCGTGGCTGCCCCGCCTGCGCCAGCTGGCAGTGCCGTACGGCATGCTGGCGTGCAGCCCGGACACCCTGGAGGCAGCCACCCGCCTGGAGCGGCTGGATGTGCTGGGTCCCAGCCTTGGCCGAACCGCATGGTTTTGGGGTGAACCTGGCCAGGATCCTGACCCTTCTTGCTGGGACATTATCCGCCGGGCAGCTACCCACCCCACCCTCTCCCACCTCCGCCTGGTTGCGGACTTGGACACCGAATCTTCCCAGTTCCCACCCGCCATGGTGGTCGCTGAAGCCCAACTCCTTAATCCAGCGCTTCATATCTCGCTTTCCAGGTACCGCCCATACCCGCCATGGTGGACGGGCAACTAGTTTCAACCTGGCTGCGACAGGCGGGAACTGCTCCACAACCACTTCTCCAGTCCTCCTTGCCCCGCCTTTGCATGTGCTCCTGCCTTGATTCCAGTCTACCGTTTGATCATTTACCACACATCTGTAAAAGCAAGTCGAAAACAAACACACCCATGCAAGCCACGTGTAGCACAACTCATTGTCATCCACCCCACACACGTCACGAGGCAGGGCCGCCCGCGGCGCCGTTGGGCGTGGGGCCAGACGGTTGCTCGGTGATGGGGCTCAGGCTGCTGGGCCCGCCGAGGCCGCGCAGCGGGCTGGTGGGGTCGCGGCCGCTGCCGCCCGAGCTGGTGGGGCTGCCGGTGCTGGCGGTGAAGGGCCCGGCGGGGGCGGCGACGGTACCGCCGCTGCTCAGGGGGCTGCCGGTGCGGGCGGCGCGGCCGGGACGCCCAGCCGCCAGCTCAGCTGCCACCCGGGTGTACGACAGGTCGTCGTAGGCCTGCGCCTCGCTGGGGGTGGAAAGCATCATGTAGCCGCCGCCGCCGCCGCCGCCGCGGGCGGGCGCCGGGACGCCCGCGCCCAGGTGGAAGGCGGGCGGCGAGGGCTGCACCACCAGACTGGGCCTGCCGCTGAGGGTGCGGCTGGGCGACATCAGCGCGCCTGCACGGCAGCAGGGACAGGCAGGCGGCTTCAGGGCTCGTGCACAGGACCTTGAGCACAGCACATGCACAAGCAGCCTGGAGCGGGGGCACCGACCGTGGGGAGACGGCGGCTGCGGCATGGATGCGCCAAAGGGGGAACGGCCGTGGGCGGGCTCGGGCGCCTCGGTAAGCACGCCCCCGTCCCCGCCGTCCATGCTGCGCAGCCCGGTGCCGGCGCGGTTGACCTGCGGGGCAGGAAGCCGAGGCACACGTACAGTGCTCGCACTGCGTGTCAGGCCTGGCGGCGGGTCTGCCTGCCCACTTTCTCCACCGCAACGACAGCCACACGGTGCTAAACAACCAGAACATCATCCTGCGCCTGTCATCCCGGCGAGCGCAGCCCACCTGCACCACCTTGACCACCATGGACCTGCGGTGGCTGGTGATCACCACCACGTAGTCGTGCGGCTTCACCAGGCGCTGCAGGAAGGCGGAGTGGATGGCCTCGCCCAGCAGGTCCTCTGCGGGCGGGCGGGGGTGGGGCAGGCAGGCAGGCAGGCACGTGATGGACGCGGCAGGTGGTGTGGTGTGGCGGGCGTGGATCAGCAGGCAGGCAGGTGGAAGGCTCAGGGAGGCGAGCGGGCACTTGTCGGAGGCAGTGTGTTCAGGAGCAGGCGGCAGCCACCGGGGCTGGCTGGCGGTAGGTGGGGCGGTTCGGCAGGCCGCCAGGGGCCAGGGGCGGGGCCAGGGGCCTCACCAGGCCAGGGGCCTCACCTGAGCCCGCCGCGTCAGACATGGGCGCCGCCAGCATGGGCACCACGCCTCGCAGCGCCAGCGTCTGGCGCGCCAGGTACTTGCCTGCAGCGCGGCACGGCATGGCAGAGGGAGAGGCAGGCTGTGGAAGGTGCAACGGGAGGCTGGGCTGCGCAGCATGCTGTCCATGGACAGCAGCGAGGGTAGCGAGGGTGCTCATCAGGCACCCGCGCCGCTCACCCTCCAGCTCCCAGCCCAGCTGGTTGGACTTGAGGGTGGGCACCACCACAGCCATGATGGCCATGGGGGGGCGGCTGCAGGCAGGCAGGCAGGCAGGCAGGCAGAGGAAGTGTCAGGGCTGGAGCCACGCACCCGCAGCACGGCTCGCCTTTCCACTTCTAGGCCTGGCAGCAGGCGGCGCTGGCGATAGCGGCCCGCACGCCCCGCCAGATGGGCGCCCCGCCAGCCCGGCCGCCGACTCACTACTTGGACACCAGGCTGACGGTGCGCCCGGTCTGCACCATCACGATGATGAGCCCGGCGCAGATCTTCTCAGCCGTCCTGGAGACAGGGCATGCTTGGGGCGGCAGGGTGGGAGCAGGGTGGCGGCAGGGCACCGAGAGGGCGGGGCAGCGCTGGGCGTGGAGCGGACCCAGCCACCCCGCTCCTCACCACTACCTCCACACACACACACAGCCATGCATGCCTTCCAAGGGAGCCCCGCCAGCCCACCTGGTGGCGGAGGAGGCTATGCTTTCCAGCTTGGAGAGGTAGGGGGCGTGGGTGAGCATGATGCGGTTCAGCTGCGGGCTGCTCCCCGCAAAGCTGGGCGGCAGGCTGCCGAAGGTGGAGACGTATGGCTTGGCGGGGGAGGCGGGCATCACCGCGCCGCCACCCCCGTACTGGCCGCCGTCGGCGCCAAAGGAGGTAGTCGCGGTGGTGGCGGCGCCGTTGGCGGCGCCCGAGGGCACCTGCGGCTGGTGCGGCGTACGGCCGCTGATGGCTGCCAGCGCGGCACCCGCCACAGGCCCGTTGCCAATCCCCTGCATGGCTACCGGCCCGGACAGCCCCGCCTGCGCGGTGCCTGCCGAGCCGGGGGACTGATCCTCGCCGCCGCCGGAGGCAGCGGCGGCGGTGGTGGGGCCGCGCAGGCGGCTGAGGCCGCCGCCAAAGGAGCGGGCGCGCTGGCGGTGCAGGGCGGTGTCTGGGGAGCGCCCCTCATACAAGCGGAAGTCTGCCGGTTGGGGTGGAAAAGGCCAGGGCATCGGCAGCAGGGGCATCAGCAGGGACAGCGGGGCCTTGCGCTCTTATCAGGTTGTGCCAGACGGTCCAGGACAGGGGGAGGCTGTGAGGGCAGGGGGAGCGCACCAGAAACTGAAGAGTCGCGCCCCATCGTCACTTCCTCCTGCAGGCAGCAGGGAGCATGCCAGGCAGCTTCAGATGGAGCCGAGAGAAGCTCCCGGGCACGCTGAAAGGCAGCCAGGCAGCTGCCTTGCTGCTCCCCCATCTTGCTGCCAATCCCAGTCAGTCATAACTGCAGTCAAGCAGGCTGCCGCAGCCTGCTTGCCTCGTATGCTTCTCCCATCAGCATCTCGTGGTGGGTGTGGTAGTCAAAGTGCTTCTCAGCCGCTGCCGCCAGCTTCAGCACCGTCTCCACAGTCTGCGGGCACCGGCAGGCAGGCGTGGGCAAACGTGACAGCTGCTGGTGCGCCTTGCTGGCGCGGCAGGGGCCACAGCAGGCATGTATACCGACTACTGGCATGCACATGGCAGGGCCACAGCAGGCACATCATGCACATGCAAGGGGCAGGCAGTTGTCGGGCGCCCACCTCGACTGGATACTCGCCGCGCAGCGTCTCCGCGCCCAGCAGCAGCCCGTCCACGCCGTCCAGCACAGCGTTGGCCACGTCGGTGGCCTCTGCAGGAGGGCAGGCAGGAGGCGCAGCGGCGGTGGCGCTGGTGAGGCACCGCCGACGTGGGGGGTGGACGGCTTAGCATGGCAGGCGCACGGGGAGCAGCAGCCAGTGTTTCACGCCTCCCTACTTTCAGGCTTGCTCATCTGGGCTGCCCCTGATACCCAGAATACCACATGGTGCACACACACACACATGGAGCACACACACACAGACACACACACTCGCCTGCGCGCGTGGGGCGGGGCGAGGACACCATCGTGTCGACGATGCGGGTGATGTGCACCGGCTTGCCCAGCTGGTTGCAGCGCGACACGATGCGCTTCTGGAGCAGCGCCATGACCTGCGCAGGCGGGCGGGGGCGCGCGGGTTGCCAGGCGGGCACCAAGGAGCTGGGAGACCAGCGGGCACCCGCTGCTGGCCGCCGCTGTGACCACAGGGTGCTCTGCTCCACGGCAAGCCCTCCACCTCTGGCTCGAAGTCCAGGCCCAGGTTGCCGCGGGAGATCATGATCCCGTCGGCCACTGCAGCAACGGTGGCAGACGAAGCATAATCAGGGGGCAGACAGGCAGGCAGCCAGGCAGGCAGGCAGTGGCAGCAGAGATGCTGGCGCTGCTGGTGCCGCTGCTTGCACCATGCCCAGCAGCGGCGCAACCACCGCACCGTGGGCAATGGCCTCAAAGTTGCGGATCGCTGCCTTGCGCTCAATCTGCGGCGGGGCGGCCACGCGGCACGCCAGGCGCTCAGTCAGACCTCCACAGCTGTTGCATTCCAGGGGCATGCATGCACATGCGTAGTTGCAGCACGCCCTGCCCATGCTGCGTTCCAGCCTCCCACCCCACCCCGCCGCTCGCCTTGGCGATGATCTTGGTCTGCGCCATGCCCAGGCTGTCCAGGAGCGCCCTGGCGGAGTACAGGTCGTCCACGCTGTTGCAGTACGACAGGTTCACAAAGTCCACCTCGAACTGGGACCTGCGGCAGGCGGGGGCGGGCTACATGGCAGCTGCGATGATGTGCCCCGAAGGGTGCAGCACTCTGAAGAGCGCTGCCATCGGGCGCCAGGCCCGCCTTTTTGTGTGCATATGCATGGCCCTGAGGTTGGTGTTGCGTCCCGGAGGCCTTTTCAGGGGACCCCTGAATGGGCAGCCCAGCTGCGCAGAGGCATGCCTTGTGGCCCAGCCTCACCCACCCTACCCTCACCCCAGCGACTTGATGCAGTCCACATCAAACTCCGTCAGCAGGGGCAGCCCAAAGTCGCCCCGGAACTCCTCGTCCTCGGTGTGGCACACCTGCAGCGGGCAAACACCACCGCGTGTTCCCACGTGGCCTGCTTGCGACGCGCAGTAGGCTGTGGTGAGGCCGGCACGCTGAGTTCAGCCAGCTGGCGACACACTGCGGTTCTGAAGCGTGTGGCTCCCAGCAGGAGCGGCAGCAGGAGCTGGCGGCGGCAGCGGCGCACCATCACGGTCAGCAGCCCGTCCAGCACAGCTGAGGAGAGGGCCACGCAGGTCACCTCGCCCTCCCCCACATCAACCACCTGCAACAAGCAGGGAGGATCAGCAGGTGGCATGTGACCGCGGTTGGAGCTGGGGTGGTGGTCGCGGAGACCTGCCAGGTGCTTGCGGCAGCCGGCGAGGCAGGGGATGGCACCACCCAGGGGGGCTGAGGCTGGCTGGCTGGTTTCCAGCAGCAGACAGCCACATGCTCGGCCGTGTGCCTGCCGGTCCTGCACCACCACTCACGTCTGCGTACAGCGACATGCCCTCGGTGCCGGTGGACAGGTACCTGCCGATCTGCAGCTGCTGCCCCACCTCCACAATCTCGTGGAAGGCTGCAAGGCAGCAGGTGGGGGGCCCTCGCTCGCTGAGCTCTGCCACCAGCCAACCAAGCTTGCAGCCGGGGACGTTCGCAGGTACGGGCTCAGGGATCCCGTGCCACGCGGGGATGGCGTGCTGGGCAGTACTGGGCAGCCTGCGGCAGGTGGCCGCAGCGACTCGCCCGGGTAGTTGACAGGGAGGAGGGAGGGCGAGGCGGTGGCGGTGGGGTCTGTGGTGATCTTGAACACCTGCAGCAGCGCGAGAGCAGGGCGGAAGGCAGCAGGTGGGCAGGCGGTCCTGGCTGGCTGGGCCAGCGGGACCGCGCCGCATCACTTGCCGCAGCATCCAGTGCCCCGCCCACCACCGTTCCGCCTACCCCACCTGGTCCTTCTCAACCGTGATGCGCTGGTCCTGCTGGCGCGGCCAGCCGCTGGCGTCGTACTCGATCGGGCGCCGCACCACCACCTCGCGCCCCGTGGTGTCCAGCCACACGCTGTGCGAGTTGGTGGGTGGGTGTGGGGGCAGAGGGAGTGCGCAGGTGGCAGGGCACAGGTGAGGATGGGTTCTTGGCCTGAAGCGGCGAAAAGCCAAAGCCGCCCCGGGCAGAACAGCCAGATTGTGTGGTGCAGGTTCTGTGAGCCAGAATGCTGGGGTGCCTGGCATGCGAACGCCCCACCTCCACAGCAGTCGCGTCTGCTGCATCGCCTCTGCCAGGTTGCGCAGGCTGCGCTGGTGGTACTCTTTGGTGCCCCAGCTGAGGTCCACCCGCGCGCAGGTCACCCCCGTGCGCAGCAGCCTGACCAGCGTCGCCACATCCTGGCACTGCAGCGGCGGGAGCAGGGGGCAGGCGGGGCGCGGAGGAGGGAATCAGTGATCAGGGGTGTGGCGCGCGGGGGCGTCTCCTCGCCGGCGGCGCTGCCGACGCTGCCGGCGCAGCCGGGCACCTTGCGGGCGCAACCCTCCTGCGGCTTTGTGCAAGCCGTAGCTGGCCCCGCCAGACACTCACGCTGGGCCCGATTGTGATCACAACCTTGCTGCCCCACCCGGCGCGCAGCTCGTGCCCCGCCGCAGGCCGCACCACCTCCTCCATCTCCACATCCAGAAAGACGTGGGCCTTGGCCTTGCCGCCGCCAGGAATGTTCCTGCAGCGGGAGGACAAGAGGCGAGGGAATTGGGCTCCCGGGGCCCTGGGGTCGGCCATGATGCCAGCGGGCGGCTGCGCAGATGCGCCGGCCGGGCCGTGGCCGCACCGGAGCGGCATGCCGCCAGATTGCGACGGGGGGCTGCTGGGCTCTGTGCTGCTAGTCCAGTGCAGCTGCCGCAAAGTCTGTTCGTTGGGGTTCACAGTAGCCCAGCTACAGCCAGCGCTGCCAGCAAACGCACAAAGTGAGGTGCTTCTGTCCCGCCTTGGAAGTGGCAGAGGAGCACGCCTTGGAAGGACCGTGGGCAAGGGGGAGCACGCAAGTGGGGAATCAGCAAGGTAGAAAGTCGGTGACATGGCAGCAATGCACCGTGCCTCTTGCTCTCCCAAAGCTCCCGTGCGCTGCCAAGACTCAGATGAGGCTCAGGGCCCTGCCCCTTACCTCCTCAGGGCTGCCGCAACGGCGGTGATCGCGCCGTTGCTGGCAGGGACTCTATGGACTGTGATGCACCCATTCACCGCTTGCGATCGCAACCTTCAGACGCAATGCAGTCCCCAACCGTCAACTGCCATGGACCAAGGACATGCTCAATCCCCGCCCAGGCGCTCAGCGGCGCCCAGGCTGGACTGATGCTATGTTATGCTTTGCAGCAAGGAATTGGTAGAAGCAGAGAAACGATGACGGACAGAGAATAATAATCAATAAACAGTCCTGAATGATGAATGGAAATACAGGGGGATATGAAGCACATGTGTGCCGCAGTGTGGTCAGCAGTCAGTTGTTGGTTGGTGGGTCAGGCCGCTGATCGGCCATCGGCAGTCAGTGTCAATGCGACAGCTGGTAGTGAGCTGCGAATACAAAAAAACGAGGAAGGTTCCGAGCCGTGCTGCAAAACTGTGATTGGCTCCCAACTGCCATCGGCTGCCTAGCCCGGCTCATTAGATGGTTTTGAACTGCGAGGGGTCGAGGCCCAGCGCCGCCAGCTGGCGCTGCCGCAGCTTGGTGTAGAAGGCCACCACCTTCTGGTCTGCAGCCGGGCAGCCAGGCAGCCAGGCGGTAGCATCAGGACAGGCAGATAGGCGAGGAGGGGCATGTGGCCGCAGCTCTGAACATCGTCAGCCACAGCAACCCAGTCTGCAGGTCCACATGAGGCAGCAGCACCACCTGCCAGGGCTCCCTTCCCACCACCAGGCTGCCCCAAGATCTGCCCACCACCCTGCTCACCTGCGCGCAGCGCCTGCGGCGCGATGCTGCCCATGATGCGCAGCCCCTCCAGCGCCTTCACGCGGCTCAGCGCCACGTACGCCATGCCAGGCTCAAACGCCCGCTCCAGGCTGACCTCCACCCTGCAGCCCAGGGCCGCAGGCGCACACGCTGGCAGGCATGAGGTACCAGCCCAGCAAGACAGCCTCACTCGCACACATGGGTGCACGTCCTCTTCTGTGGCTGTGCAGCCGTCAGCCTTGCTCGCCCGTGCTCCGCACCTGTCCAGCGTCATTCCCTGGCTCTTGTGCACAGACATGGCCCAGGCAAGGTCCAGAGGCAACTGCACCCGCTGCGCGGTCACGCGCCCGCCTGTAGGCGAGAGAGCAGCAGGTCCGCCAGCGTGTCATGCCGCTGCTTCATGGCCAGGCCTCCAGGGCAGCACGCGTCTGGCGGCCGCAGCCGCATCAGTCCCAGACCAGGCCAGGCGCAGAGCAGCTCACCAGCGGCGATGGTCCAGCGCTCGCGCCCCACGGTGACCACCCTGCCGCTGGCAAAGCGCACCACCGGCATGCCCTGGCTGTCGCTGAAGCGCTCCACCACGCCCCGCGCGCCGTTCACCAGGCCCTGCCGGTGGCTCACGTTGCGGATCAGCATCACCTGGGCGCCCACCTGGCAGCACACGGAACAGGAAGAAAGCAGCAGGAAAGCCGGCGCGCAGGTACAGGCACACACCCAGACGCAGCAACCAACGCACTGGCACTCCAGGCACGGTACTTGGCTGCACTGCATTGCTGCGGAGAGCTTTGCAGGCCCCCTCTTCACCTTGAGCTCCAGACTGCGGCGGGCGGGGCAGGCGGCAGCCAGCACATCCGATGACCCCACATCCTGCGCCACATACCGGAGGGGTAACAGGCCGGCGTGCTCGGAGCTGCCACAGCAAGAGCGGGGCCGCTGCCCAGGCTGTGCTGCCGGCAGGCAAGGCGGGGGCGCATCGACCCCGGCCAACCAGCCACGTCGCTGTGCGGCAGCAGCCACGCGATACTTTCTTCCCAACACACCTGAGCCACAAACTTGTGCGCCTCGGAGGGCAGCGCCCTCAGCTGCTGGGAGTTGATGGCGTCGACATCCTCCCTGCAGGCACCCGCCACCACCCAGCAGCAGCACGGCACAGCCATTGACCAAGGGCCCACTCCACAGAACAGCCGCTAGGCGGCCTGCAGCTGCACAGAAGCCCCCAAAAATGCCTGTCACCTTCTTGCCACCACCTGCTTCCCCCACCTGTGTGTGTACAGCTTGGTGGGGAGGATGCCGTCATCAACCGGAAGCGGGCGCTGGCACGTCTGCACGCGCGGGCACAGGCCAGGCAGCGCTCGGAATGGCAGTGCCACACCGGCAGGAATCGAGCGCGGCACAGCACAGCACATGTGCTCCCAATCGTGGCAGGGAGGTGGCCAGCTGCAGGCGCAGCGCTGCGGCTGCGCCTGGGGGCGACCCGACCCTCACCCGCAGCAGCTGGGCCAGCTTGTCCTGGGGGCAGCAGCCCGCCCGGATCTTGGCCAGCAGCTCCACAAACTTGACATCAGACTGCAGCATGTGGGGTGGGGGCTGGTGCGTGGGTGGGTGGGTGGAGGCACAGGAAGAGCGAGCGCTGGCAGAGGCCAGGATTGAGACGGCAGGAGCTGGGGCATGCTGTGGCCGGCAGATCGGGGATGGCGCCAAACGTAGATGAGGCTTGGGATGCTGCAAAGGAGAGGCATATGATGAAAGCAAGCTCAGCGTCACCGGGTTGCTGACCTGGCGGAAGACCTTGGACAGGAAGCAGCACTCGTGGATGCACCGCCCCCACGCCGCCGCCTCGAAGCAGAAGCGCCGCGCGGCCGCGCCTTCCTTGGCCACGGGAGGCAGCTGGTGGAAGTCTCCGGACAGGATGAGCTGGCGACAGGGGGAGGGCGGGGGAGGGCAGGGGGTGTGTTGGGAGGGGATCCGCTCATCAGAGCACACATGTCATACACGCCGCGCCCATGCGCCTGCCGCCCCCGACTGGGCGCCTGCTTGCCGCAGCTCGACCCATGCCGACGTGCCTGACGCCGCCACCGCCACCTCGCGCCCACCTGGATGCCGCCAAAGGGCGCGCTGCTGCCCCGCACGGTGCGCGCCACAGCCTCGAGCGTGTCAAACAGCCGCCCATCCATCATCGACACCTGCACGTATCCCAGTTGCAGGACAAACATTAGGCACATGCACGTCTGGCAGAGGAATAGAGGCTCCCCATCGGAGCTGCGGGCCATCAAAACGGGTGCAGGGCAGGGCAGGCCAGCAGAGCGAGCAACAGGAGGCTGAGGCGGGCCTGCACTTTCCTCGTCGATGATGAGGTGGGTGGTGGCTCGCCACCGCTGCAGCGACTCGCCGCGGCTGGCCTGGCGCACCAGCTGGTCTGCGGGGGTGCCAGGTGGGAGGAGGGTGAGGCAGGCGGGCAGGCAGGCAGGGCCTCACAGGCAGGCTGGGGAGGCAAGCCAAGGAGGCCAGGGCAGGGCACAGCGCGGGCTTGCCCAGGAGGCAGGCATGTGGGCAGCACGCAGGGGCCCACCCACCCAGGCTGCCCTCTGCCCGCCCGATGCCGGCGTAGGTGTTAATGGTGGTGCCTCCCAGGTGGCAGGCTGCCAGGCCCGTGGTGCCCGTCACAAAGGTGGTGCCCCGCGGCAGGCTGCGCAGGATGTGGCGCAGCAGCAGCGACTTGCCGGTGCCGGCGCAGCCTGCACGCCAGCGCGGGGGCGGGCGCAGCAGGCAGGCTGAGCACAGCGGGCACAGCACAGCGGGGAGGCCACCAGGTGCTAGCGCGCGCTGCACATGACGGCATTGGACAGGCCAGCTGCAGCGCCACCCACCACCTCCCGCCCCACCCCGGCCAGCAAGCCGCCGCCTCCCGCCCCCGCCCCAACCAGCCAGCCGGCTGGCCCCACCTGTGAAGAAGATGCTGCGCCCGCCGCGCACCAGCTGCAGCGCGCGCTGCTGCTCCTCCGACAGCGCCCCAAGCTCCTCCTCCTCCGCAGCGCCGCTCTCCACGCTGCTGGCCAGCGCCTGGCGGCTGCTGGAGGGCCCCAGGGAGAAGCCGCTGGCCGAGGGCGCGGGGCCGCTGCGCAGGCTGACGACGGTGGTGCTGGGCGCCTGCACCTCCGACAGCGTGTTGAGGGAGCGGGGCGCCAGCGGGCGGCGGCCGGGCCGCGGCGCCCCGCACCCGCCCTGCTGCTGCTTGCCAGAGGCGGCCGAGGCGGCGCTGGTCCCGGCGCCGGCGCCGGCGCGCTTGAGCAGCACGCGGTTGATGCGGTCGCGCAGCTGGGTCAGCGCCTCGCTGTCCTCACACACGATGCTGAGCTGGACACACTTGGACACTGCAGGATGTGGGCAGCGCTCTTACAGGGGCTGGGTGGTGGAACACGCGCTGCTTTGCCAAAGCATGCTGCCCTGCCCGGCTGGATCCCATCCCTGCGTGCACAGAGAGGCTCCAGGCAGCATGGCTCCCTAGACTTGCTGCCGCATGCCTCACCGGTATCCCACGGGTTCTGCTTGACCCGCAGGAACTTGAGGCCCAGCTGCCCCTCCTGCACCCGCCCGCCGTACAGCGCCACGGGCGGCGCCACCGGCAGCACCAGCTGCAGGCGTGAGGGACGGCAGCACTCGGCAGGGGCGGGGCTGGAGGACGAACTCATTATGCAAGCAACAGGCAGTGGAGCCTCCGCCCAGGAGCTCCCTGCGCGGGCTGCTTGTTTTTTCGTCATGCCAGGCAGCTCACCGGGCGCGGCTTGAGGCCGATGGTGAGCACCACGCCCCGCTGCTCGCAGTGCACCAGGTCCACCTGCACATCCTTGCCGCTCTGCGGCCGCACAAAGCTGCCGCCCAGGTCTGTGTGCTCCACGCGCACCTGCCCATCAGGGAGGGGGCGGGCCAGCGCGGCATGAGGCAGGGCATGCACGGAGGCGGGAGAGTGGCGTGGCGGCAGTTGCATCTGCTGGCGGGTGGCGGGTGGCGCCGGCGGCGGCAGCGAGAAGGCACCCCGCCCCCTGCCTGCGCCGCGCGGCCCGCCATGCGGGCCAGGTACAATTCGGTTCGATGCGGGTGCAGGCAGCGAGGCGGGCAGGCTCCTGGCCAACGGCCCAGATGCCAACCTTTGCCACCAGCCGCATGGCAAGCGATCCAAGGCGCAGCAATAAGCTCCACAATTTAGGCCAGCCGATCAGCGCCTGCCTCCACCCGCAAAGCCCCGCTGTGCTCAGACATGCGTCGCAACAGCTAGAGGGCTGTGCCCAGCAGGCTGGATGCTCCAGCGACGTGTCCTGTAACTGGCAGCTGATAATGTTCTGTTCCCAACCCATTCTGGCAGTGTAGCTACATGTAGGCGCTTGTGTCCTACGTGGCAAATGTGTGCATGTGCACAAATGCCCCAATGGAGGCTTGTAGCACCATCCCCGACGTGCTGCCGTCAACCACTCTCACCAGCCAATCGCCTGGGAGTGATTGAAGCTGCTGCAATGCAGGTCTCCCACAGCCGCTTTAAGGCCGCAGGCAAGCCTCGATCGCGCGCACAAACCACAATGCAGCCATCCGTGGTTGCTATCCGACGCTGTGTGTCCTCCCCATGCAGTGCCGCCACGGCAGCGGTGCCGCCGCCTGCCTACTGTGGCGTCGGCGGATGCGCCTACACCCAGCCGCAGCGTGGTCATCCTGCCGGGGCTGGGCAACAACTCCAAAGATTACAGCGGGCTTGTGGACCAGCTGCAGCAGCGAGGACTGCACGTGGAGGTGGCGCCCGTGAGCCGGCTAGACTGGTGAGCCGCCACGACTGGCTGGCGAGGTGCGGATGCGCCGCCGACGCCGCCAGAATGGCAAGCCCCGACCTTCCCGCATGCCCTGTGTGCTTGCGGGTGGCTGCAGGGCCCGCAACGCATCAGGCCTGCGCTACCGAGAGTACTGGGCGGGCACGCTCAAGCCGCGGCCCACAGGTGCGGGCTGTGTGTGGGCCCAGGGGCCTGCTTGAGAAACCTCGCGCTCTCTCCTCTCTGCCTGTGCCCCTGTTGGCAGCTAGCAGTGGAGTAGAGAGGGGGGGATCAGCGAGGCCGTGGCCTGTCTCTGCACTGCCGCAGTGGACTGGTACCTTGGGCGGGTGGAGCAGGCGGCAGAGGCGGCGAAGCGGGCCACAGACGGGGCGCCCATGACGCTCCTGTGCCACAGCGCGGGCGGCTGGCTGGGCAGGTGTGTGCAGGCGCCGCTGGCGGGGCCCTCGCTGCCTGCACCTGCAGCTGCATCCAGCCCCATTCCATGCGTCTTCATAAGCCGCGGCTGCTCTTCTGGCCTGATCTGCGGTGTTCCTTGCCCCGCACCTCGCAGGCTCTTCATGCTTGACTTTGACCGCACCGGCATCGACCAATTTGTGAGCCTGGGGTCCCCGCAGCTGCAGCCGCCCGAGGGCGTGATTGACCAGGTAGGCGGCGCGGCGGGAAGGAAGAGAAGGTGGCCTAGCGTCTCTCCCTGCGCTCACACCCGTCTTCCTCCCCACGCTCCTGTCCCCCAGACCCGCGGCATCCTCACCTGGGTGAACCAAGCAGCCCCCGGCGCTTTCCACAGCGACGTGCAGTACGTGACGGTGGCGGGTGAGCGGGGTCCCAGCAGCAGCGGCAGGTGGCTGGGCCGAGCGGGTGACTGGGATGGGGCGCAGGGTTGTGACCTGTGCCCTTATGTCCATGTGCGACTGCCGCAGTGCGCTGCATGCCTGCTGCGCCAATGCCAGCCTTGCCCTGCCCGCCGCCTGCCACCCGGTGCCCGCGTGCAGGCAAGTTCATCCAGGGCGCGCCGCTGCTGGGGCCCGGCACCTGGCAGCAGCGCGTGGTGGGGGCCGGCTACAAGCAGGTCTGCGGGGACGCGACCGCCTGGGGCGACGGCGTGGTGCCGGTGCCGTCGGGTGAGCGGCGCCGAGCAGGGGTGTGGTGGCAATGCCATGGTTCAGCTGCACCGCCCGAAGGGCGCTCACGGCAGCGCCGTCGTAGCCGAATCGCCGCCTCCCGACTCTCTCTGGCCCTGCCCTGGCCGGCGTGCTGCGCAGCGCACTTGGAGGGGGCCCTGCAGATCACGATGGATGGCTGCTACCACAGCCCGCTGGGTGCGGAGGATGGGCGGGCGCTGGAGAGCGTGGAAGAAAGCACAGGTGAGGCGGGCGGCAGAGCAGCTGCAGGCTGGTGGGTGCAATGCGGTGGTGGTGGTGTGCCGCAGCCCAGCCCTGGTGTCGCTCCAACAGCCAGGCCCGCTCGCTGTCCTGTGTTGTGCAGATGACGGCGAGGCGGCAGCGGCGGCGGCGGTGGCGGCAGGGGCGTCCGCCCGCCAGCCGCGCCTGTGGTATGGCAGCCACACGCTGATCGATGAGTGGGTGCACGTGGTGCTGCAGCCGCAGGCCGCCGCCTCAGCGCAACAGTAGACGGAAGGGAGCTGTCAAGCTGACCCGCCAAGCTGTCGATATCATGCTCTACGCTCATTTATTGTTCCACGATTGCCCGTGGGACCGTACAAAGGTAGTTCAACCCATGTCCAGCTCGAACGCGTGGCGGCAGCGGGCGGCACGCTGTGTGCTGTGCGGCGCCGCCCTTCATGAGGCTCTTGCAGCCCAGCGCCAGCGCCAGTTTTTTCGGCGCGATGGCCGCGCGGTCGCTTCTCTTCGACGCTGTGATAGCAGACCAGCCCGCGCAGCTGCGGCAACTGCTGGTGGGCCAGCAGGACGTCAGCCTGCTGCGGAGCGCGGCAATTCTGGCGGCTTACGGAGGAAAACCTTCGATACTGCAAGAGCTGCTCGCCAGCGATGCGAGGCCTTGGCTTCTGAGCACGGAAACACCGCCGGTGGCTCTTTCGGAGAAACTGCAGGTCCATGCGGGAGCCTTGGGCTACCACGGACGCTCTCTGCTCAGGCAAGCCGTCCTGGCGCGCGCCCCGCCGCCCTGGACCCGCCGCCGCCGCGCGCGGACGGTTGCGTTCCGCCGTCGCCGCCCCACGCCCACCCACTCCCACCTTGACACGCCGCCTGCCTGCCTTGCTTGCCCTGGCCCTGCTGCAGCCAGCCGCCCATCGTCATTGCCGCGTGCCAGCTGCACACCGCGGCGGTGGAGCTGCTTCGGGAGAATGGCGCGGAGCTGCCCGCGACGGTGGGGGATTCGTCAGGTGAGGCCGCCCAGGCCGCACCCTTGCGGCAGCCACTCCTCGACGCTGCCCGCATGCCTCGACACAGGGCAGGAGAAGGGGGCCATAGGCCCCATA